GGCTTCGGGTTTAGAGTTTAAGGTTTAGGGTTTAGGGTTTAGGGTTTAAGGTTTAGGGTTTAGGGTTTAGGGTTTAGGGTTTAGAGTTTAAGGTTTAGGGTTTCGGGTTTCGGGTTTGAGGTTTGGGGTTCAGGGTTTGAGGTTTCGGGCCTGAGGTGCAAGGTTTAGGGTTTCGGGTTTAGGATTTCGGGTTTAGGGTTTAAGGTTTAGGATTTCGGGTTTAGGGTTTAACAATTCGGGTTTAGGGTTTAAGGTTTAGGGTTTAAGATTTCGGGTTTAGGATTTCGGGTTTAGGGTGAAAGGTTTCGGGTTTCGAGTTTTAAGGTTTAGGGCTTAAGGTTTCGGGTCTAGAGTTTAAGGTTTAGGGTTCAGGGTTTAGGGTTTCGGGTTTAGGATTTCGGGTTTAGGGTTTAAGGTTTCGGGTTTAAGGTTTGGGGTTAAGGGTGTAAGGTTTGGGGTAGGGGCTACAGAGAGAAGTCCAGATTTCGCATGTGTGGTGCGCTCATCTCACAGAAACGATTCTCGAAACTTTTGTGGAGCAGCATATCCCTTCCCTTGTCAATAACGACAGAAGATACATTAGAATCGGGTGTTGAGCTATGTTACAACATATTTATAATCGGGACCATAAAGGGGATACAAGTAGTACTGTTGATGATCTAAATCCTGCCATTACCTTAAGGACCCTAAACTATGGGACTTATGGAATATTCCCTATGGTGGGTAATGCAGGATTTATATCATCAGCCGCAGTTTCATTCCTGTCCCTTGGTTCTGTTTGTAAACACCAAGGCCACTTACATGCACAGCTACAACAGCCAGACATATGAGCAGTCATACAGAGATGCACACCTACTCTGTGCCATCCTAAAACACCATGGCAACCCTGAGTTTGCTTAAACATCGAGCTCACAACATCCCACCTCAGATTATACGCCCATGTAAGCAGTACTATACCATACTATGCCAGACTCTACTTTACTGAACAATACCTAACAATACCAGATGATAGAACAAACCCCTAAAACCCTAAACCCTCAACCTTAAACCTTAAAACCCCAAACCCCTAAACCCCAAACCCCTAAACCCGAAACCCTAAACCCTAAAGCCTAAACCCATCAGCTGATAAACCTAAACCCTAAACCCGAAGCCTTAACTCTTTCCAGTACCCTAAAATGAATGCTGAGCTTCTGTCTCGGGAGCTGCAGGCCGGGGTGGCGGAGCTGGGGGCAACGGCTGCAAATTCGAGGCGCGGCCCGCCACCTGCCAGCAGGTTTAAGGTGTAGGGGTTGACGGTTGAGGGGTTTTTAGGTTTAAGGTTTAGGGTTTAGGGGTCTAGGGCTTAGGGGTTTTAAGGTTTAAGGTTTAGGGTTTAGGGGTTTAGGGTTTAGGGGCTTTAAGGTTTAAGGCTTACGGTTTAGGGGTTCAGGATTTAGGGCTTGAGGGAGCGAGAGCGTAAGCCCAGGCCGAGGCTTCCTAGAAGGTCATGTTCAGCTACTCGGGTCATGCGCAATCTTAACGACAAGTGCCTTAGCATATATATAGATATATATATATATATAGACATACTTATATACCTCTCTCTACGTCTATATAAGACTATATAATCATAATAAGTACATATTCATGTAGCCATCCATGTAGCTGCAGACCCAACCTGGGCGGCGCAAAAACCTACTTGGACTTGCTGCTGTGACAAACGATGCTGGTTTTGCTGAGGCGAACGTGATCCGAACGTCAAATGTGGTACTATGGTACTATTTGTATTCATGTGCAGACAGGTTTTAAGATCGAAAGACAAGTCGGTGCATGAACATATGAACATGTCTTTGGTGGCCTGTTTGTAGCCGCGCGCAGATGGCTAGAAGCGCATGCATACATGCATGCCTCTGTATGTCCACCATTCAGCTGTGATCTGTTTTGCTCCAATGCATTTAGTAGCGTAATGAACTGACATGCCTTTGCATGAAGGCACGTGGGCATATTTAGGCGCATAACGAGTCTGACAGCATAGACTCCAAGCCGTGAAAGAAGTACTGTCTGCATGTGCGTGTGAGTGTGTAGGCGTTGGGTTGATGCAAAGTAAGTAGTTTCTCTTTTGTATCATCGCCATACCATGCCCCAACTCACCGCAGAACTGAGAAAGTAAGCACGAATATCATCCAAGCTCCAAGCCCAAGCCCCAATGTGCAAGACCCCCAACGGTTTCGGGTACCTCTGCGAGGTACTTGTCCTGGAGACTTTTGACGTCGACCTGTCGCTAGTCGAATCTGTTGGCAGTAAGGGATCGTGCAGGATCAGTCCCGCCGCTCATACTCATCTTGGAGCTTCAGTCCCTCGCTTAGACCATCATCTTTCATGAGGTTTCACCAGGTTATTACAGAGGGACCCCGTTTGGCTTGCATGGTTCCCGCAAGCTCGGAACAGGCTGCTCTAGCTGCCATGGTATGTATATACATATA